TTTTCTGATTTATTAGCTATGAGTCTATAATAATGCAGGATATCAAGATGGAATTGGGACCGAACCAAAGGACGATGAACAACACCCAGAAATGGATGTGACGACAGATGGAACAGAGTCATTGCTGTCCCCTTTGCAGGAGGCATTATTTCTAGATTGTGGGTTCGATTTGTGTTTTGTCAGTCAACGTTTCAATGTGGAAGCTACTCTTGTTATTTTAAACATTGAGGGGTTCTGTGTAGGAATTTTGTGTTCATAGAATAGTTAGAAGGACCAGAGAGACATGGGCTCTTGATTGGGCTTTCAGACATGACATTCAAAACACCCCCTACAGAATTCCCCCTGCCCCGGACCTGACGGAGGGTGGACGATCCTCTGTCCCCGCTGCTGGCTCTGGAATCGCACCGGAGCACTGGGTTGTGGTGGGCAAGCACTGGGCACCTGCGGTTGAGCGTGTTGGTCCTGGGAATCTTTGGCATCTGCGGGTAGGAAGCCAGTGTCAGAGGGGCTGGCTCCAGAGACCACCGTGCCTGGCACGCAACCGCTGAAGTGTTGCCCACGCGCATGACCAGGACCCAGCCCTGCGGTCAGGCCTCACGTGGCGCACGTGGCCGGCGGGACCGAAATCCGCAGAGCCCGAGCTACAAGCGAGCCCAGGAACAGAGCGTTTCTCTCTCCAGCCCCTGAGTGCAGGAAGCGCACTGGCAAGAGGCGGAGTGAGACGCAGAGGGAGCCGGTTCAACGCGACTGTGCTCCTGCTTCCCGCCCCCCAGTCACTCCACACTTGCGTGTTCTCTTCTCATCCTCAGACATCCCAGTGGCACATCAACAACCACGCCCCCGACATAATGTGGCTCTCTCACACGCGAACGTGCAAGCACGCACTCCCTCCTGCAAAGGGGACAGCAATGACTCTGTTCCATCTGTCGTCACATCCATTTCTGGGTGTTGTTCATCGTCCTTTGGTTTGGTCCCAATTCCATCTTGATATCCTGCAATTTATAGACTCAAATATGAGCCACCACCTACACACCCTCTATCGGGCTTTCTCAACCTTGACACGCTTGACTTTCGGGGCCAGATAATTCTTTGCTGGGGGACTTTTCTTTGCACAGCAGGACGTTTAGTGGCAACCCTGGTCTCAACCCACTAGCTGACAGTAGTACCTCCCGAAGCCATGACAATCAAAGGTGCCTTCAGACAGCGTCAGATGTCTTCGGGAGGTCCGAATCATCCCTGGTGGAGAAGTACTACCTCATATGAAATAAGAGGCAAAAAAGAGGGGGCAGAGAAATTGGCTACACAATAGGATGAGGAAAAAGCAGGAGCTTTTTTGTAATGTTCTTTGCTGCAGCAGGCCTAGGCGCCAGGCGCTCCTAGCACTTGGTGGGTGTGGCCTAGGGTGCTGCTAAACATCCTGCAACGCACAGAATGGCCCCACAACAAAGAATCACCTGACAAAAGGTCGACAGTGCTGAGGGGGAGAACCCTTGGCCCACAGAGACTCTCCTGCATGTGGCCTGCGGTTAAGGCAGGTGGCGCGCATGGCCCTTGACTGTTAGGAGGGAGACGGGAATGGGGCAGGAGGGTGAGTGTGGGGAACTCTCTGTGCTTTGCTCAACTAGGCAGTGAATTTAAAACTGTACTAAAAATAAAATCTATTATATATACATTTTAAACCAGGCTGGTAATTTTATGAGCCCAGACCCCAGCCCTACTTTGCATACAGACACAATGTATTATTTGTAAGCTTTGAACATACAGTGCATTTTCCAGCCACGCAGCTACTCTCTATGTAGAGGGACAGCTGCACTCCGTTTGGTTTGGAACTTTGCCGAGGCTTGGTCACCGTTTCAGAAAATCACGTCTCCAATAGCGGACTAGCGCTGTTGGAGCAGCCAGCCGGCCGGCCGGTCTGCCCCTCGCCTGCCTCGCGTGCGCCTTTGCAGCCATTGCATTGGCACAGGTTCTGTAAAGACCGGGCAGCATCCAACGGCTTCACCGCGCCCGAGAGTGCACGTACTCAAACACACATTATTTGTTACTAAATTATTTTCTTTATCCTGTGGAGCACAATTGGGATTTTATGCTGACATTAATTTTTGTGTATAGGTAGGTTTTATTATCTATGAATTTCATGGCAGGATAGTAACAAAATATTTGTTATTAAAAGGGTGACTGAGTCCGATCGAATCGAGAGCCTCTCCTTTAAAATGAAATCAAGCTCCTTGCTCAGCCCTCAGGGCTGTCACAACCAGCCCAGCTGTCGCCAAGCCCCTGTCCCTCCTTCCACCACGCCTGCCAAAGGGGCGGATTTGTATGTCCCAGGATGTGTCAGCATTCTCATGTCCCTGGTCGTGGTACGGGCTGTTCTCTCCCAGAAGTGCCCTCAATCCTCTTCGTACACAGTCTCAGCGGATGCTGTGTTCCCCAGCCTCGGCCCTTCACGTCCTTCCTTTGAAACTTGAGCCACGGCTGTGCCCACCTGCCCTGCCATGCACTGCTGTTCACCTAACATTCTTCAAAGATTTTATTTACTTTTAGAGAAGGGAGGGAGAAAAACAGGGAGAGAAATACTGATGTGCAAGATAAGCATCAACCCTTTGCCTCTTCCATGTCCCCAACTGGACCTGCAGCCCAGGCATGTGTTCTGACCGGGAATTGAACCAGCGGCCTTTCGTTTCGCAGGGCAGCACTCAGTCCACTGAGCCACACCAGCCAGGGCTAATTTTCTTAAGTGACTCATTTTTCATGAATAATTTTTAATTTATGTTATGTTTATAAACAAATTGATTTTTAAAGTTAAATAAATTCTAAAAAGTTTTATTTTAACAAATTTATGTTTTTAATTTGCTTACATTTGTGTTTAATTTTAGTAAATGTATTTTTCATTTTCTTAAAATTGATTTTAGAGAGAGAGAGGAAGGGAAAGAGAGAGAAGCATCAATCTGTTGTGCCACTTCTTTATGTATTCAGTGGTTGATTCTTTAAAAAAAAAAAGATTTTATTTATTTATTTTTAGAGACAGGAAGGGAGGAGAAAGAGAGGGAGGAAAGCTATGTGTGGTTGCCTCTTGCACCTACTAGGGACCTGGCCCGTAACCCAGGCATGTGCCTTGACTGGGAATTGAACTGGCAACGCTTTGGTCCCCAGGCTGGCACTCAATCCAGTGAGTCACACCAGCATGGGCCATTGGTTGATTCTCATATGTCCCCTATTTGGGGATGGAACCCTCAGCCTTGGTGTATAGGGACAATGCTCTAACCAACTGATCTACCAGGCCACGGATCTAGTAAGTGTATTTTTAAATTTATATTTAAGTAAATGTATACATGTATTTATGAAACAATACATAATTTTATTTTTTCAAAGAAAAGAGTGTATCATAATCATAAAGAGGAAACTAGCATGAATAGCCCTAAAAATAAAGCAACTGTAAAAACAAAGAAGAAACATTAAAAAGTACTAATTTCTGTTTAGACGAAAAACTGTCAGCAGAAGCCCTGAAGCCAGCTTTTCTGATATTAGAAACGTGTTAGCACTGAATTGAGATTTTCTCCCTTGACATTCTGAAGGCTTGAAAGCGAACTGAAAAGGGAGGAACTTTTTCTTTCACTGTAATCAAATGCCATCTCTGTTCTCCCTAAAATCTCCTGTGTGTCCCTGCAATGCATTTATTCACCACGCATTTACCAAGCACCTGTTATGGACCAGGGTGGGGTGCTAGATGTTTGCAATAATCAAACAGAGGACCAGGGAAGCATAGTCTTTGCTCACAGACTCACAGTCGACTGGAATAAAAATACACAAGTAAGTAAGGAGTGGCCATAAAATGTCACTACTTACGAAAATAATTAGTGATTTAGAGCCTCTCGCTTCAGCATCCTCTATATGCACGGTGACTGCAGAGAAAACAAGCCCACCGTAAATTGTGTGAGTTTGAGAAATTAACTTCAAACTTACAATGGTCTGTGATTTTTTCAGTTTTTCACAGAAAAAAAAGGGGGGCGGTGGGTGCATATTAATGTTTGATGTGGTGTGAGGGACCTCTGGAAGTAATTCATTTCCCCCGTTTTTAGCGGCGGTGGTGGAAGCGCACCAGAGGAGGCTGGGAAAGGAGCCTGGGCTCTGCGCCGGGCCACGCTTCCTTCGGAGCCGCCGCTTAACCCCTCACTGCCCGGGACGCAGCTCAACCTCGCCGTCCGCGAGAAGCCCGCTCGGACGCCGCCCCGGGGCCCACGCCCTCACTGTGCGTGGCATTGGGAAGCGTAGCAGGGTCCGTCTGTTCGTCCGTCTTCCAGACCGCCAGCCCCGGCTCCTGGCCCTCTCCTCGGCCTCCAGAAGCACCCAGCTTGGGCAGGACCGCTGGCGATAGACTGTCTCTCCGACTTCCCCGGCGCTGGCCCCGCTCGAGTGACCCTCCAGTCCTGGGCTCGGCGAGCCGGCCCCTCCGTGCGCTCCCACGTTAGGGGGCGCTAGCTGCCTCACCGCGCCCGCAAGGGGTCGGGCCAGTCGCCCCTAAGCGGCACTGGGCGGCACGGGAAGCCTTAGGGGCCGGGGTCCTGCGCTTGTGTCTGGAGGAGTCCCAGCCCCGGGGGATTGGGAGGGGCGGTGCGTCCCTCTGTCCCCGCCCCGGGGGCGGAGCCGAGGTCCGCGCAGAAGGAGGCTGAGACCCTAGGAAATTGGCCTGCGACTCCCTCCTCCACTCACGCCTGTCCCCTTCCCTTTCGGAGAGACCGATCCCCTCCTCCCTCTGTCTGCGCTGGTGCGGGTGCGGGGCGACACCTCTCTCCCACCCAGGCTCATCCCCCTGGACTGCCATGGCGCGAGGAGACACCCCGCAGGACAGGCAAGTTGGGGACCGACTGGGGTGAGTGCGGAAATCCGGGTGGCCGGAGGCGGCACAGACCTGTTCCATTGGGCACTAACAAGGCGCCAAGCTGACAAGATGGAACTACAGTTCCCATCAGTCGCCTGCCTGCGCTGCCAGCGCCGGGGAGATGGGGGCTGTAGTCCGCTCCCTGGCGGGGGCAGGAGGGGCGGCCGAGGGGCTGCGTGCGTCCTCGGGGTGACCTTCTGCCTGATCCCCACAGCTACCACCTGGTTGGGATCAGCTTCTTTATCCTCGGGCTGGGCACGCTCCTTCCCTGGAACTTCTTCATCACGGCCATCCCGGTGAGACTCGGGGCTGGAGTGGCAGGCCCACCCAACAAGCACCGCCTGTCCCTCCGGCCGCCTTGGACCCGAGGCGCACCAGGCCTTTCCCTACCACACGGCCTTTGCCTCCTCGCTCTGCCCGTGTGTCTGCTGCAGCGCGAAGCGTCTGAGAGGGAAGGGGGCCCCTTTCAAGTCTAGGGAAGCCGAGCTTTCAGGGACGCCCGGCCACCAGCTCAGGGAGCCTGTGGGACCCCCACCTCTGTGTGTCATTATTCTTGGGCTAGTCACTCCAAAACTGGCTTACCCAAGCCTTTGGTTTTCTTTGAAATAGCACAAATTACACTCTTTCATCCAACAAATAGTTAATGTGCACCTGGGTCTTCGCATGGGGAGTGCAGGAGGAAACAGAAGAGAGGAAGAAGGCTCCATCCTCATGGAGCTTAGTTCTCTCTGGGGAAGGAGGAGATGGAGGGCCTGGTTCGCTCGCTGGCTGGGTTATTCATACACGTTGCGTACAGCTTTCAAGAGGCTCTGCAATGCCTGGCTCTCTGCTGGGCCCTGGAGATGCAAAACTGAGTGAGCCCTTGGTCTAGAAAGCAAGATGAGTAGGGACCAAAGAGCAATTAATAATGTAACTGGACCTGTGGCATCCTAGGCTTGGAGCAGTCCTGTGGGTCCCCAGGATGGGGCCAGTTCCTTCTGCTTCAGAGAAGAGGTGATTTGCAACTTGAAAGTAGGGGCATAAAGCATGTTGGGAAGAGGCAGGAAGAAGGAAGGGCGTCCTAGGCGGAGATGGCAGCCTCGCAAAGGCCCGGAGGCAGGGGAGTGCCGGCCTAGTCAGAGATAGGGACGCCTGGAGCTTAGTGGGACAAAGCAGGAGCAGGGACACAAAAGGGAGGCTGGGATCTGGCTCTGAAGGGCCCCAAATGCTGCTCCAAAACTCAGAGGCTTTGCCCTGCGGCCATAGGGAGCCGTGGGTGGGGCTGGTGGGGAGGTTAGGCAGGCCTGACTCCGAGAGGATGCCGCCGGTCAGCACCTAGGCCAGAGCCCGGCTTGCTGCGGTGCTCGGTGCTCGAGGAACGCTTGGCAGTGGGGGTGGGGGTGGGGGCTGGAGCCAGGGCACTGAAGAGGAGGAGTGGTCTGAAGGTGGAGCTAGGCCTCAGGTGGGGGTCCTGGGGACTCGGGCTCTGTCGCAGACGTCAGCGGTTCAGTTCAGTGCACAGTCACTGAGTTCCAACTGTGTGCCAGGTGCTGGGGACAGTACAAGGGCAGAGACACCCCACAGACGTTAACCGAGCCATCCCAGGTGGCGGTTGCACGAGGCTGGGGGGTTCCTGAGGGTGTGTTGTATGGTGACCCTGTGCCCCCTCTCCCGGCCCCCTGGCAGTACTTCCAGGGGCGGCTGGCGGGGGCCAACGGCACCACCGGGACCTTGAGCACCAACCACAATGGCCCTGCAGACGCCTTCAACTTCAACAACTGGGTGACACTGCTGTCCCAGCTGCCCCTGCTGCTCTTCACACTTCTCAACTCCTTCCTGTACCAGTGGTGAGAGGCACCCCCCCACCCCGGCCCCGTTCCCTCCCAGGCCGTCCTCTGTTGTCCCTGTCCTCGCCCCTGCTGAGGGCACTCTGCCTGGGTCCAGGGAAGATCTCCCATCCCTCCTGCACTCCCCCTGCCCCTCCCCCACCCCGGGCCCACCCCCTGGCCCACCTCCCTCTGCCAGCCCGGGCCCAGCCCATGCCCTCCCTTCTCCCCCCCACTGTGAGCAGCATCCCAGAGAAGGTGCGGATCCTGGGCAGCCTGCTGGTCATCCTGCTCCTCTTCGTCCTGACGGCGGCATTGGTCAAGGTGGACGTGAGCCCTGGCCCCTTCTTCTCCATCACCATGGCCTCTGTCTGGTTCATCAACTGTGAGCACCGCTGCCCCCACCGCCTCCTGGCCGCCCGCCCTGCCCGGCTGCAGCCCCGCCTCTCTTTTGTAACTGAAAGGGCCCACCTGCTGTACCCAAAAAGGGAAGACAGCAGCAGCAGCAGCCATATCCCTCATGAGAAACTGAGGCCCCGAGGGAGAGGCGAGGTCACTTGCGCCAGGCCCCACAGCGATCTAAGAGCTGGCCTCCTGGCCCCTAGACCTGCAGGTCTATGGATGCGCCTCAGAAGAGGAGTGACCCGGGGGGCGGGGGGCCACGCCAGGGCTATGCCGGGAGTCTCATCCCTGCCGACGCCTCCTCCAGGGAGTCCCGAGGCCTGCCTCATTGAGTGGCAGTCCCCATTCTTGTCCCTCCACAGCCTTCTGTGCAGTTCTGCAGGGCAGCCTCTTTGGGCAGCTGGGCACCATGCCTTCCACCTACAGCACCCTCTTCCTCAGTGGCCAGGGCCTGGCTGGGATCTTCGCTGCCCTTGCCATGGTCATGTCTATGGCCAGTGAGTAGACTTGGGTGGCCCCTGGGGTCCGGGAGAGTGCCGGGATGAGATGCCTTGGGTTATGGGTGGCGCTGGAGGTGATGGGGTAATGGGGAGCTGGGGATCAGGTTTGGGGTGGGGAGCAGGGCTCCTGGGTTTTACAGTGCAAGAGTGACTGGGTGAAAATTGGGGTAGCTTGGGGCCAGGCCCGGGGTTCCTGAGGCCAACGCTGCTATGTAGTAGCAGCAGGTTGAGGCTGAGGGAAGGAGGAACCGGTTTGAGATCCTGATAGACTTGTGTTCAAGTCCCAGTTCCGCGGCTCCCTAGTGGGGGGCATTGGACGGGGCACCTAACCTGTGTCAGTTTCCCCACCTCCCCACCGAGATGGCTCCATCCTCGGAGTGTAAGGAGCATGAGATAAAAACGAGCACATAGTAGGTGCCTGAGAAAATGGCCCATAGGGAGGGGTGAGAGGTTCCCGAGTTGTCAGTGGGAGGAGCAGAAGAGGCTGGGAGTGAACCTGAGGAGGTCATAACAGGAAGTGGGGGCAGAGTCGTCAGTCCTGTTGGGGCCGGCGGCGGGACCGGCGCCTGCCCCCTGCAGCTGGAGTTTCCGCACAGGTGGTGTGGATGCCCAGGCCTCCGCGCTGGGCTACTTCATCACGCCCTGCGTGGGCATCCTCGCATCCATCGTGTGTTACCTGAGCCTGCCCCACCTGGTGAGCCTGGCGCTGCGCTCGAGGCTGCACTTCGGAGCAGCTCAGATACAGCCCAGACCTGATCTGAGGCCCCAGGAGAGGCCAGGGGAGGTGGAGGGGACCCCAGCCTCTCAGTCAACAGGCTGCGGGGGGAAGTGGACGCCTCCCCGAAGCTGGGCCAGGCCAATGCTTTCCTTCCGCAGGAGTTTGCCCGCTACCACCTGGCCAAGAAATCATCACTGGCACAAGGTCCGGAGCTGGAGACCAAAGCTGAGCTCCTCCCACCTGGTGAGCCCCGGCCCGGCTGGGGGAGGTGGAGACCCAGAGGAACCTAGAGCCAGTGCCACAGGGAAGCCTTTCCTCTCTGTCCCCAACTAGAGCCCTCACCCCTAGTAGCCTTGTGTGAGCAGAGGCAGAAAGAAGATCAGGAACAGAAGTCGGTGGTATTAAAGCCACCCCCATTGCCCCGTGGGCCTTGGTTTCCTCCTCTATAAAATGGGGAGGCGGTAGGGCTTCAGGTATGCAAGGCCTGGATCCAAATGCATCTGAGTTTGTTTCCTGGCTTCACAACATCCAAGCTGTGTGACCTTAGGCAAGTCTCTTAACACCTCTGAGCCTCTGTTTCTTTTTTGTAGAGCAATGGCAGTGACATAATCCACTTAAGGTGCTTAATCTGCCTGACACTTGTATGTGCTTAATAAATAGTAGCTAAGCATATTTCTGCTGCTAGTTCTCTTTGCTTGAACCCTGGGCTGAAGGAGGGTCATTGTTTGAATTGCTGGGAATCTCCCTGTCACAGGCAAGGGTCACAGGCATGACCCTGCCCTCCCCTCTTGCCCCAGATGAGAAGAATGGGACTCCCAGCAGCCCTCAGAAGGCAGCCCTGATTCTGGACCTTGACCCCGTGAAGGAGCCGAAGCTACATCCTGAGGAGCTCCAGAAGCCAGGAAAGCCTTTGGTTGTCATCGTCTTCCGAAAGGTTTGGCTTGGATACAACCCGCAGCCTCATCCCCAGGAAAGGGAGGGCTGCTCTCTCCAGCCCCCAACAAAGACTCAGAATGAAATGGGGCCTTAGTATTCACCCTGTCCACCCCAAGGTGACGGGGTCATTCATAGTGGGTTGGGGACACAGCTGAGCCAGACTCCAGGTGTCCTGCTCCCAGGCCAGGGCTCCTTTTCTTTGCTTTTCTTAGAGAGAGGGGAAGGAAGGGATAAAGACGGAGAGAAACCATAGATTGGCTGCCTCTCGCACGCCCCCTACTGGGGACCTGGCCTGCAACCCAGGCTTGTGCCCTAACCGGGAGTTGAACCGATGACCTTCTGGCTTGCAAGCTGGCACTCGGTCCACTGAGCCACACCAGCCAGGGCAGGCCAGGGCTTTCCCAGGAGGGTCAGGGCTGAGTGTGGGACCCCAGGTCTGCCCTGCCTGCTCACAACCCTGCCTCCGGCTCCCAGATCTGGCTGACGGCGCTGTGCCTTGTGTTGGTCTTCACAGTCACCCTGTCCGTCTTCCCCGCCATCACAGCCATGGTGACCAGCTCCACCAGTCCTGGGAAGTGGAGTGAGTGCTGGGAGATAGCAGGGGACAGGCAGGGGAGTGAAGGGGAGAGGAGGAGGAGGAGGGCAGTCAGGACCAGAAGGGGCCCCCTCTCTCTCCCAGGTCAGTTCTTCAACCCCATCTGCTGCTTCCTTCTCTTCAACGTCATGGACTGGCTGGGACGGAGCCTGACCTCCTACTTCCTGTGGGTGAGCACTCCTGGGCTGGGGTGATCCGATGGCTTTAGGAAGCAGCTGGGGATCAGAGGGTGTGAAAGAGCACAGAAAGGTGATTTCCCAATAGTCCGACTGGTCTGGGCCTGGCCATGGGACAGCCCGCCAGGTGGCAGCGGGTCCCTGGCCCCAGGAGTTATGCCCGATTGACCCGTGTCCTCAGCGTCCAGCCCGGGGCCCTGCCCTCGGCGCCAGAGACTGCTGCGTGGAGGCTGCACCACGGGGTGGGCGGGCTTGGGGAGGCGGCGGGGAGAGACTCCAAGTGTTTGGATTGCTTTGGGCCAGGATGCTACTTCATTAAATGAAATCTTTCAAGAAGACACAACAAATAAAATAGATCAAAGAAGAGGTGCTCTGCTCCCAGCAGCATGGGGCCTGGATCCCCACTTCCAGCCCCAGTCAGCAGCCCCATCCGCCCCAAAGGGGTCTGTGGAACCCCGCGGGGTGTCCAGAGGAACTGAGTTTGAAAACCAAAGATGATGTCTGAGGCCTCTTCCAGTTCTGCTGCGGAGAGCCCGGCACTGGAGATCAGGAGAGGCAGCGGCTGGCCCGGGCCAGTCCCTGAAGGCTGGGGGCCTTGGCCCAGCCCCTTGCTCCCCAGAGGCCCGAGAGCGGTGTCCTCACTGGTTCATGTAGGGTAGACCAGGGGAGTGAACAAGGAGTCTATCTCGGGTGCCGCTGGAGCAGAGACCCTGCTCCCAGGGACCACCCTGATGCCAGCTTCTGCCACAGCCCGACCAGGACAGCCGGCTGCTGCCCCTGCTGGTCTGCCTGCGGGTCCTGTTCATTCCGCTCTTCATGCTGTGCCACGTGCCCGAGAGGTCTCGGCTGCCGGTCCTCTTCCCGCAGGACGCCTACTTCATTACCTTCATGCTGCTCTTCGCTGTTTCCAACGGTTACCTGGTGTCCCTCACCATGTGCCTGGCGCCCAGGTCTGGGGACATCCGGGAGGGCTTGGGGTGCGGAAGTGGGTTAGTTCTTTGAGGAGGGACAGACTGGCCCCGCCCAGCCTGGCCCCAGCTGTCTCCAGGCCACCCAGTTGGGTCAGGCCTCAACTACAGGGCCGGCCCCAGGCCGGGAGCTGGGGAGGTGCCTGTCTAGTAAAGCCACCCAGGCACTGGTTCTGTGGCTTCCTCTCTGGGCCTCAGTTTCCCCATCTGTGAAATAAACGGGTTGGACTATCATTTGTTAGGGCCCGGCTACTACCAAAAGGATCAGTTGAAGGGGAGCTGAAGTTTTGCTCAAAAGCACGGTTCCTGGGCTATTTAGGTACAATGGAGTTGAGAATCCAGAAAGGTGATGGGGGAACAATTTGGGGATATTTCATCAAGAGAGAAGACAGCTGAATCTAGAATCCTATAACACTGCACCCCAGGGAAACCCAGAGATGTCCTTGTCCGGGGGCCTCATTTCCCCAACCGGGGAGCTGAAGCCCAGGGTGAAGGGCCTAATTACTGTGGCCTGGAGGCTGGGTCGTTCCAGACCAGGACTCAGGCATCTTGTAAGGAGGGCTGGGCACCCTGGGGCTGGGCCCCGGTTTGGCCCAGCATTTCCTCAGAACCCCTGCCCCTTTGTGTTCCAGGCAGGTGCTGCCCCACGAGAGGGAGGTGGCCGGCGCCCTCATGACGTTCTTCCTGGCCCTGGGGCTGTCCTGCGGGGCCTCCCTCTCCTTCCTCCTGAAGGCGCTGCTCTGAAGGCTCTATCCAGGGCTCTCCCAACAGCTCTCTTCTCACTGCCCTGCCGGAGCCAGAGCCGGAGCCGGGGCCGAGGCCCAGCGCAGAGGAAAGGCGAGCCGAGCTCTAGCCTCTGCTGGGCCCAGCCGCTTGGCCTGGGGGTGCCAAGAGGAGGCGGACGCTGTCTGCTTCCCGGGCTGACGGCCCCTTGGGGCACTGCAAGGAAGAATTCACCACCAGCCCAGGATGGAGGGGGCACACAGAGATAGGCTCTCTAGACACGCACACGTAAGAGCTCATTGAAAGGGTGACAATCAGGGAACAGAGGGCTGCGGCCCTTCCTCGCCACCGGGCATGCATTTCTGTTTTCATCACAAGCACTAAACCTGCTAATCCAGGGGGATCAGAGGCCACGAGCCGCAACTTGCAGAGGGTTGGCCGGTGTGGCTCCCGCCTCGGGCACCAACTGGAGGTGTGGCCGGCCCCGGCAGGAGCTCGGGGACCCCAGGATCAAGTCTCCGGGGCCCCAGGAGGCCGAGGGGAGCGGGGAGAAAGGGCAGGTGTGAGGGCGCTCAAAGGACCCTTAGGGCCTCAAACAGTGTTTTTGTTGCCAACATTTAAGTGTCCCCGCTTCCCAGAGCCCAGCAGAGCAGCGGATCCACAGTTCGCTGGCTGCACCATGCTCTGCGGGGCGCGAAGCCCTTCCAAGGCCCCTAGCCGCACCGAGGCCCTTAGAGGGACCGGACAGGGATTGCAGTCCCCTTTGTACGGGTGAGGAAACTGAGTCCAGGGGAGTGACTGGTCTGTGGCCGAGTCGGGACCCAGCCCCCGCCACTCTCCCTGTAGGTGCTGCTCTCCTGCCCAGCTCCTGCTCCCCTTCCTGGGGCTCAAGGCAGAGCCCTAAGCACTTACTCCCTTTTTTTTTTTTTTTTTTTTTTTTTTTTTTAGAGAGAGAGAGGGTGGAGGAGGGAAGGAGAAAGAGAGGGATGGAAACACCAAGGCGAGCCCCAGAGGGGTGTTACGCAGAGTGAAAGGTCGCCAGTTTGACTTCATCATGGCGCAGGCCTGGGTTTAGGACCAGGTCCTCAGCTGGGGGCGTGCAAGAGGCAACTGATTGATGTTTGGGGACCAAACCCACATCCCAGGCATGTGCCCTGACTGGGAATCGAACTAGCGACCTTTCACTTTGTGGGGCGATGCCCAATCAAGGGCTTACTCCACCTTTTTGCTGTTTCTCTGACCCTGCTCCTGGGTCTAATAATAATCCTCTTTATTTGTATAATGAATTCACCGAGTCTTTCTTTCTGAAGCGCTTTCAGCTCTTTCGGCTTTGGTGAGCTGGATGGGGTAGGGATGATTGTACCCATTTGGCAGATGGGATGGCTGAGGCCCCAAGAGGAGCAGAGATTTGTGGGCATCCCTGTGATGGCCAAGGGGTATTGACTGACATGCGAGGAGCGCTGTACTCCTGGGCAGAGCACCGGGCTGCATGGACGATGATCACTCTTCCCTCGCCGGTCCCCTCTGCGCCCGCTCCTGGCTCCCCCTTCTCAGAAATGGGGCTTCACAGAGGCGGCTGGCTGACTCTCTGGAGGGGGGAGGAGAGTCCTGCTTCACCACGTGCCTGTGCTACCCTGCCCAGCCCAGAGAAAAGCACAGATTTTGTTTGTTTGTTTTGGGTTTTTCTTTTTGTTTTGTTTTTTGCCATGAGAGGCACTGGCCTTGCTGCCCACTTGCCCTCCTGCCTTCCGCGAATGTGCACTGGGCAGCTGTCGTACACCAGGAGCTGCGCCGGGACAGGCGCCTGCTCGGCAGCTGGAGGCTGTTTTGCTATCAAAAAGGAAAGTGAAGCAATACAGGACTTCAGTAGCCGAAATGAAGCCGCAGGGAAGATCCCAAGCAAGGGCTCATTCCTTCAACCACTACTCACTGCGCTGGACCCAGGCTGGTCTTGTGACCCTGAAACAAAGGAAACATGGTCCCTGCTCCCAAGGCCGCGGGGAGTGGGATGTAACTTGTGATGGGGATTTGTGAGGGCCCCGCTGAAGTGTGTGACATGGGACTCCGCAAGAGGAGGGCCATCGGTGCTCCTGGGAAGTCAGGGCAGGCACCCCAGAGGAGGTGCTCCCCCAGCTGGGCTTTGAGGGATGAATATGAGTGTGCTGGGCCAGAGTATGGGGAGGGCATCCCAGGCAGAGGTGCCAGAGAGTGTGGAAGGCATGGACATGGCACATTCAGGGAACAGTGGGGACTTCTGGCAGGGGTGGCCGGAGGAGGCCCCCAGGGTGCGAGGGAGGGAGAAGGCAGAGGATGAGGCTGGAGCAGTGGGTTTGGGTCAAAGGATGAAGGACCTTAGTGATGAAGACTAAAGGGATTAGAGAAAGAAGGAGAGACACAGGAGAGAAGAGGCTGCCTGCCTCTGCAGGGGCCATTTAACTCAGCAGTTAAGTGCATGCGCACCGACCCAGAGTCCTGGAGTCAAAGCCAGGCCCTTTTGGATGCAGGGTGGTTCAACACACGGAAATCCATCAGTGTGATGCACCGCACGCCACGTCAATAGAATGAAGGGGAAACCACACGATCTCCGTTGATGCAGAAAAGCATCTGAAAAACACCCAACACTTTCCTAGATAAAAACACCCGACAAACAAGGAATAGATGGGAACCTCCTCAGCCTGATAAAGGGCATTTATGAAAATTCCGTAACGTCATAATAATGGTGGAAGACGGCAAGCCTCCCTCCGAGACTGGGAGCCAAAGCAGGATCCCCCTTCCGCCATTCGGTCCACCCACCCTTATCCCGGAAGTTCCAGCCAGAGCAGTTTGGCAAGGAAGGCAAATGTAAAGCATCCAAATTGGAAATGAAGAAGTAAAACTACCCAGATTCATGGATGATATCATATAATTATATACCAAAAACCCTAAAGAATACACACACAACTATTAGAGCTAATAAATGAATTCAGCAAACTTGCAAGATTCAAGATCAACACAAAATACAGTTGTATTTCTGCACACACAGTTCTGACAAGCGGGCTTTCCCAACACCAGGCCACCCTGACACCAGCCGAGTGTCCTACGATGTCACTCAATTCTGACACTATCTACCTGAGGGGATTCCACAAGGACTCAGCCCCACAAGACCGCCCCACTCCACATGCCACTGGCAAGCCCAGGCTGTAACCTGTACTTCTGACCCACTGGCTATAAATCAGATTCCAGCATCCCTCCTCCACCCCGGGGCTCAATTAATTTGCTAGAGCAACTCACAGCACTCAGAGAAACATTTTCTTACTGGATTACAGGGTTGTTATAAAAGGCTATACAAGTCAGGACCAGACAGATGGAAGGGCAAGATATGCGGGAAACAGTCCCCTTGTTAATGATTTTTAACTCTGCTCTTCGAATGTCTCATGTCACGCCCCATCACAGCCCGCCCCTCGCCCTGGCCCGGCCTCTCTGCCCATAGTGGAGGCATTTAGCCATCCTCTCACCCCTTGAGTGTGGTTTTCCTTGACACCTGCCAAGGCCAAATCACTATTTTTCAGTCTCCCCTTAGGTCAGAGCCCTTAGGGACACCTGAGAAGCCTCTGATGTACTCACGCAACAAACATGAATCAATGCCTGCTGCGTGGCTGGCACTGCCGTGGGCAGAGGAGGGGCATTGCGGGCAGACGCCCCGCAAACTGAGGCTGAAAACAGGCGTGTGTGCGTTCCGCAGGTGAAGTGCAGGTGCTCAGAGGGCCAGAGTGGGCAGGGAAGCTGCACCTGGAAATTCTGACAAAGAGAAGGCTGTTTGCAAAGGGGGAGCCACTCTTGTGCTCTGGCCAGCTGCCAGCCCTCCCCGAATTGACAACAGAATTTGAAAATGGGGATTTTATGGGAAATCTACTGATTCACCAAACTCAACAACTAATGAAATTCAAATTGTTATTTTTTCAACACTGAGCAGATCAAAGAAACCCAAATGGCACCAGATCCATCCAAATGGCTTCTAGTTTGCAAGGCCTGTGCTGGAAGGATCTGCGCATATGTTTCTCCTCAGGCACAGGGTGCCCACAGGCACCTTCAAAGACAGGGTCTGTGCCTGCTCCAGGCCTTGTTCCCCGGGCCTAACAGTCCCTGGTCAGTGGGTGTTATTGCTGGGGACGTCAAAACATAGATCTCCTGGTCACTCTTCAACTCACATACCTCGGCTCCTGGCTGCCAGGGAGGTAGTGGAGGGACACCTAACCCTGGTGCTCAGGCCCCTCCCAGTCGTTCGCAGAGCACCTTCCCTTCCCAAGATGCACAGCGCTCGAGTAGTTATTACGTATAATTGATTTATCAGTCAAGGTAACTGCCCTTCCCCACAGCCTCTCCTCTTCTAAAGAATCCATGGATCAATTATTCCACAAACACTTATTAAGCTCCTTGTGTATAAGGCTGGCGTTAGACCTTCTGTGTGTGTGTGTGTGTGTGTGTGTGTGTGTGTGTGTGTGTTGGGGGGTGTCCTGGGGAAGGAGGTGTGTGGATACTGGGTCTCCCCACTGGGAAAACTACTGAGAGGAGGATAATCATTGGGCTGAATAGAGTAATAATTTAAATGATCAAACACCACCATCGCCACCATCACCCTTAAGTCCCACCACTTTAGATAGGGAGAGGGGCGCTTCCAGAGGGTGCTTCTTTAAATAATATATTGGCACCTAATTTGGCATTGGCTAGAATTCCGGTTCTGGTCTAGGTGCCACCCTGAACCCTGGGCCCTCTTGGGAGAAAGAAAAGTACACCTCTAGCTGCCATTCAGAAAGGCCACATACACAGAGCAGGAAGCTCCTGAAGAGAGGAGATGCTTGGTGAACAAAGGGTCCAAGTTGTGCCAAATTGTCCCCAACCTGGTGCTCGACACCGGGGCGAAGTAGAAAATAAAGAACCGCTTCCTGTGTAAAACGCGACCGACGAGGATGGGATTCGAACCCACGCGTGCAAAGCACAATGGATTAGCAGTCCATCGCCTTAACCACTCGGCCACCTCGTCCCACGGAAAAAAACCCCTTTCCAAATTCCCTTATCTCTTATCTCCTCCTCACCCTTGGAGTTCCCTACACCCCTCCTTCAATGCAGCCCTTGTAGGATCTACAAGAGAAAGAGATGATAGAAAGAAAGGGGGTGTGTGTGTGTGTGTGTGTGTGTGTGTGTGTGTGTGTGAGAGAGAGAGAGAGAGAGAGAGAGAGAGAGAGTGTGTGTGTGTGTGTGTGTGTGTGTGTGTGTGTTGGCGTGTGTTCCTTTCATCCTGCCACCGCCAGAACCCGCACCATCCTTCACCAAGCTACAGCCGAGCTCTGCCACGGTTTCTCCCTCGTTGAGTCGGGAACGAGCGCGCCAAGATTTCCGGACGCGCTTGGTCCAGGGAGGTCGCGCACTGACCGGGAGGGAGTGGGTGCATGTCGCTGGGAACCCGGCGGTGCGGCCGCAGGCAGACCCAGCGTTTGCAAAGCGCGCCGCGCTGGCAGCGAGTGCAGTAGCTCCTCCACGAATGCAGGGGGCGAGCTGGCGCGCCCAGAGACCAGTGCGGGAGGAGCTGTGCACCGGGCTCGGCTCGCCTCGGCTCGCCTCGGCTGCGCTCGGCAGGCTGCGGTAAATCCGGGCTTGCGGCTGCTGGCCGAGGTTGTGGCCGGGTGGTCCCTGCTGCGCGCCCCGAGATCCGAGAGCCATGCAGATGTCCTACGCCATCCGGTGCGCCTTCTACCAGCTGCTGCTGGCTGCGCTAATGCTGGTGGCGATGCTGCAGCTACTCTACCTGTCGCTGCTGTCCGGGCTGCACGGACAGGAGGAGCAAGACCAGTATTTTGAGTTCTTCCCCCCGTCCCCGCGGTCCGTGGACCAGGTCAAGGCGCAGCTCCGCACCGCTCTGGCCTCCGGAGGCGTCCTGGACGCCAGCGGCGACTACCGCGTCTATAGGGGCCTACTGAAGACTACCATGGATCCCAATGATGTGATTCTGGCCACGCACGCCAGCGTGGACAACCTGCTGCATTTGTCGGGCCTGCTGGAGCGCTGGGAGGGCCCGCTGTCCGTGTCGGTGTTCGCGGCCACCAAGGAGGAGGCGCAGCTGGCCACGGTGCTGACCTACGCGCTGAGCAGCCACTGCCCCGATATGCGCGCCAGAGTCGCGATGCACCTTGTGTGCCCCTCGCGCTATGAGGCCGCCGTGCCCGACCCCCGGGAGCCCGGGGAGTTTGCCCTGCTGAGGTCCTGCCAGGAGGTCTTTGACAAGTTAGCCAGGGTGGCCCAGCCCGGGATCAATTACGCCCTGGGTACCAATGTCTCCTACCCCAATAACCTGTTGAGGAATCTGGCTCGTGAGGGAGCCAACTATGCCCTGGTAATCGATGTGGACATGGTGCCCAGCGAGGGACTGTGGAGAGGCCTGCGGGAAATGCTAGATCAGAGCAAGCAGTGGGCAGGGACAGCGCTGGTGGTACCGGCCTTTGAGATACGCCGGGCCCGCCGCATGCCCACAAACAAGAATGAGCTGCTGCAGCTCTACCAGGTGGGCGAGGTGCGGCCGTTCTATTATGGGCTGTGCACGCCCTGCCAGGCTCCCACCAACTACTCCCGCTGGGTCAACCTGCCTGAAGAGACCTTGCTGAGACCTGCCTACGTGGTGCCTTGGCAGGACCCCTGGGAGCCATTCTACGTGGCCGGAGGCAAGGTTCCCACCTTCGACGAACGCTTTCGGCAGTACGGCTTCAATCGCATCAGCCAGGTGCCCACAAGGGAGAGGGCAGGGGAAGTGGGGCAGGAAGGGTGGTGGAGGCAGGGAGTTATGAGGGGCCCTGGATGGAAAGGGGCAATGAGGTGGGAGGGACCACAGTTCAGCAGTGGTTGGATGCTGTGGAAGATCCAGGATGCCTCCGGAGGTGTGGGGATGCTGGAGATGGCTTTAGGGATGTCACATTTGGCCCTAGGAATGTCATCAAACTTTGCTGACCTGTCTCTCCTCCCCACAGGCTTGTGAGCTGCACGTGGCAGGATTTGATTTCGAGGTGCTAAATGAAGGTTTCCTGGTGCATAAGGGCTTCAAAGAAGCCTTGAAATTCCATCCCCAAAAGGAAGCTGAAAATCAGCACAATAAGATTCTTTACCGCCAGTTTAAACAGGAGTTGAAGACCAAGTACCCTGACTCCCCCCGTCATTGCTGAGAGTCCTTCCCTGCCCTAGTCTGAGAAGCCTCAGCCTCCTCTCTCCTTAGGCCGCCCCTCAGGCCTGACAGGGGTAAGAAACGTCACTCCACTTTACAGTGGTAGCTGTGGTGTTGGAACACTGGACTTGAATATGGGGTGCTGGGATTAAGTCCTAGCTTTACCACTAACTCGCTGTGTGGCCTTGAGCAAATCCTGGTCCCTCTCTGAGCCTCAGTTACCCTGTCTGTAAAAAGGGAGGTGAGACTACCTACCTCACAGAACTGTTAGGAGGCTCAGATGAGACGTTATGTGAAAACATTCTGTAAGCTTCGTACAAATGTGAAGTATTATTAATATTATTACAGTATTATTGTGGTTATTATTGTTATTATTATTAACAATCTTGGGTGGGTAAGCCGTAGGTGAGCAAAAGGTATGAATGGGGCAGAGCTGAGAAGTCTTGAGTACTTAACAAAATGGGCCTTTTGGAAGGAAATCAGATAAAGGCTTTGAATTTAGTTCTTAGGACGGAAGCCTAAATGTCCTGGTTCTCCCAGGCCTCGGGAGTTCTGGAGAAGGGAAAGGAGTGCAGGTTCTGTACCCTCCAATAGGCTGGTCTGGGTAATTTGTCTACGAATGGCACTGTGTAAATAAATGAGTGTTCACACCTACAGCTGGCTCCATTACTCTCCTGAACCGGGCAGGCGGAGGGGCCACGGGTTCCCCCACTTCACGCCGTTGGGGGTTGGGGGGAAGTGACCGTGGACAGAGGGGCACTGGTTGTAAAGCAAGAAAACCACAAAGGTTTTTTAGGCGGGCCGCAGGCCAACTTGAATGTCGGACCGTTGCTATGGAAACCAGCGCGCGGTATCCCAGCATGCCTCGCCAGAGCTGTCCAATTGTGAGCTTCCGAGCGGGCGCCTCCTGATGACGAGCGCGGAAGCGCGGACAGGCCCCCGCCTCCCGGTAAAGAGGGACGGACGCAGAGCTTCCGGGAGCCGGGCGCCGGCGGTCAGCACCCGCAGCTGCGGCCACCTGTCAGGGAGTCTCGGACGTGAGGCCGGAGGCTCCACTCCCTGAGGTGCGTATCGCCACCCATGGCGCCCGGTTCGGTCTCTCCAGCGTATCGGTCGGAGCCCGCCCATTCTCCAGGGCCGAAGCGGAGACTTAACCTGCCGGACGCGTGCAGGGCCGCGGGCTCCAAGCTGGCCGCGGAAGAGCCACTGATTGCCCTGCCCGTGCCGGCGCCTACGGGAATGGAGCGGGGCGGGAGACTCTGGGCGCACCGCGGAAAGGCTGAGTTGTCCTCTTCGAGGGTGAGGACCATGGAGTTCTGCCTTCGAGATGCTCGCTTTCTGAAAAGATAACTTGCCTGTGCACAGCGCCTTTACAATGTGCTTTTCCATGCCTTATCCCAGCAGTCTTACAACCTTCAGAGTATCAATGGTTATTCTCTCTTTGCACCAGGTGAGGAGGGGAGGTTGTGATTTAATGAGCTCATTCAGTAGAATAGGAGGCCTCCCCCTTTCTGGTCCCGTTTACGTTGCATCTTATCAGGTAAATATATTTAACAGTGAAAGGAATTGCAAAATCTGGGAACTGTTGGAACTGATGCTTGAGAATGGGAACGATGAGACTGGTTTGGAGAACAGGAGGTTGTAGATCAGGTTCAGATTATTTGTGAAATCGTTGAGGAATGGGACTCAACTCCCCTCAAGTCCTGTTATTTTACACATCTCGAATTGCTGTCAAGGAAGGTTAACAGAACACTTTGGGTTTGCTACCACTACAGGAGTCTGGGGCCACCAAGAAGTACAAGCCAACCCCTGCCTCGCAAAAGCTTGTTTTGTTTAATTTGTATTTGCACACCCTCCAATTGTGGAGTTGGTAGTGCGCTAGGTGAATAGGCCCATGTGCAGCCTTGCCCTGGTTTAGGGTCTGGTTGAGGAGACAGACATGAGATGGGCAAGTAGAGAAGAAATGTCAGCAAGTAAAGCTCCCTGGAGCGAGTGGGGCCTACCCCATCTAAAGGACTGCAAAACAGTGCCCAGAGAGGCTGCAAGAACAGCACAACGAAGTAGAGCCCTCAGTAGGCAGAGGGACTCTCTGTTGAGAGGCCTGATTAGTCTTCCTCTTAGATGATCTCGCGGCAGCATTCGGCACGGCCACCTCTCCTTCCTTCTGCAGTTCTCTGCGTGACTGGGTTTTGCCTCCTCCACCTCTTGGTAATTTCCTTCTTTGCAGGGGCCTCATCGTCTGCCCTTTTGGAGACCCTGACAGTCCCGTCAGGGGCATCTTCTCACACCACACATTCTGCCTTGCCGGTTGCACCCTCTCCCGGGGCCTGATCAGTCGCTTCCTGCCATTGACCAGATCTCTGCAGCGCGGATTTCTCTCGGAGGCTTAGGCCCGTGTGCCCCCAGCCCCGCCCCTTCTCTCGTTTTGGGGTCTCTGCACAGGCCACTCTGCTGGGAACACTCCTTCCTCAACCAGCTCAGCTCACCCGCCTGGCCCTCCTGCTGTGGGAACGCAGGTCCCAGTTAGACGCCTGTGCCCTAGGCCTCCCCTCTCAACTCTCCTCGCACCGCACGGGTGCCCTGCTGCTTTGCCTTTCCCCCCCAGGGACTTGGAAACATCCTGAGGTCAGAGACTGTGCCCGTCTGTCACACTTGTGCCCAGCGCCTGTCGTGGCATCTGATGGTACCTAGCGTACATTAGAGTTTCAGTAAATGTTGGGTGAATAAAAGAAGGAACGCTTAACGATGTTCAGTGTGACTGAGAAGGCGACTATGATAAGCACTGAAAACTACTGACATTAGGCACAAGGAGGTCATCAGTTAACGCTGCAGGATCGGTTTCAGCTGAGAGGGAAGGTACACAAATGAGCGGGAGGAGAAAGAGCAGGAAGGGCAAGTGTGCCAGGCCTTGCACAGTACAGTTGTGAGGTGGGAAATGGGAACAGTTTAGTGAGTAGGGTGAGGTTTTGTGTTTCTGCATTTTCTAAACGGTGGGAAATACCTGAGCATGTCTCACGTGCTGTGGGAAGGAGCAGTCAGGAGGGAGCGTTGAAAATGCAGGACGGGGAGGGGAGCCCACTGACATGAAGTCCCAGAGGAAGCAGAAGGAGACGGGACTGGACCCAGAGCCCAGTGAGAAGAGAAGAGGTTGTAGACTGTTCAGGAAGAGACACGGTGCGGGGGACGCACTACAGGCAGAAAGAACAGCACAGGGGGAGCAGGGGAGGAAGGACATGGTGTTACCGGAGAACTGGCCATTACGGTGGGGTGAAGGCGCTGGACCAGTAGTTCAGGCATAGTCGGTGCAGGTCCTTGAAAGCCCCAGTCAGAGATTTGGGCCCAGTCCCATAGGCGGTGAGGACCGCCCCCCCAGCCTTTCCCACTTTATGGATGGTCACCTCGGCCAGTATTCCCAGGACTGGGACCACCAACAACATCCAAGGGCATGAGCATTTCCATGGCTTCTGGGAAATGCGCAGACAGGACCACGTGCGCCTTCTCCACCCAGTGAGGGCCCAGGGTGTGGCGAGTCCAGTCACTTCCCCAGCTGCAGTCAGGCTCCACTGGACTCCCCATGTGGCTGCTTTCCCAGTGCGGTGCGAGGAGAGTTAAGAGGGGAGGCCTAGGGCACAGGCGTCTAACTGGGACCTGCATTCCCACAGCAGGAGGGCCAGGCGGGTGAGCTGAGCTGGTTGAGGAAGGAGTGTTCCCAGCAGAGTGGCCTGTGCAGAGACCCCAAAACGAGAGAAGGGGCGGGGCTGGGGGCCCACGGGCCTAAGCCTCTGAGAGAAATCCGCGCTGCAGAGATCTGGTCAATGGCAGGAAGCGACTGATCAGGCCCCGGGAGAGGGTGCAACCGGCAAGGCAGAATGTGTGGTGTGAGAAGATGCCCCTGACGGGACTGTCAGGGTCTCCAAAAGGGCAGACGATGAGGCCCCTGCAAAGAAGGAAATTACCAAGAGGTGGAGGAGGCAAAACCCAGTCACGCAGAGAACTGCAGAAGGAAGGAGAGGTGGCCGTGCCGAATGCTGCCGCGAGATCATCTAAGAGGAAGACTAATCAGGCCTCTCAACAGAGAGTCCCTCTGCCTACTGAGGGCTCTACTTCGTTGTGCTGTTCTTGCAGCCTCTCTGGGCACTGTTTTGCAGTCCTTTAGATGGGGTAGGCCCCACTCGCTCCAGGGAGCTTTACTTGCTGACATTTCTTCTCTACTTGCCCATGTGGGAGCTGTGGGCAGTGGCGAGTGATGGCTCCACGCCTTCTTCCAGAGCCCAGATGCCGATCCAGCCTCCAGGCAAAGACACAGAAGAAATGGAAGCAGAGGGTGATTCAGCCGCCGAAATGAATGGGGAGGAGGAAGAGAGTGAGGAGGAACGAAGTGGCAGCCAGACCGAGTCAGAAGAGGAAAGCTCAGGTGAGAGAGCGAGAGGGACACACATGCACGCACGCACGCACGCCAACCCTTCTGCCGGCCCTGACTGGCCTCTCGTCCCAGAGATGGATGATGAGGACTACGAGCGGCGCCGCAGCGAGTGCGTCAATGAGATGCTGGACCTGGAGAAGCAGTTCTCGGAGCTCAAGGAGAAGTGAGCCTGGGACACCTGGGGCTGGGTCTGCAGGCACTGGGGGTGAGGAGGCCACAGGCCTGGTGCTGGGCAGCGGTGGCTGAGACCCAGAGTAAGCGTGGGCCCAACGCAGGGCCCGCCATGGATCGGGTGCTCCAAGTGTGTGTGATGGAGGAGCATGTTTTACCTCCCAGGTTGTTCAGGGAGCGGCTGAGCCAGCTGCGGGTGCGGCTGGAGGAAGTGGGGGCCGAGAGAGCACCCGAGTACACGGAGCCCCTGGGGGGGCTGCAGCGGAGCCTCAAGATTCGCATTCAGGTGGCAGGTCTGTGGGCTGTCCTGTGCCCGGGGGTGACCCGCCAGTCCCTCTCCCTGTTCCCCTACCAACCCATGGTCCCTTCCACACTCGGCCCTGCCCTGCCCTGCCCGTGCCCCCCGCCCTGCTCTGGGGGCACTGGGGTTCCTGGCTCAGCTGGCCTCCCCTTCCGCCTCCCCCCTCTGCAGGGATCTACAAGGGCTTCTGTCTGGATGTGATCAGGAATAAGTACGAGTGTGAGCTGCAGGGAGCCAAGCAACACCTGGAGGTGACTGATGGGCGCGGGGGTTGGGGGGGACTGAAGTGGCCCACCTGTCCCTCCTGGCTGAGCTACGCCCACCTCTTACAGAGCGAGAAGCTGCTGCTCTATGACACCCTGCAGGGGGAGCTGCAGGAGCGGATCCAGAGGCTGGAGGAGGACCGCCAGAGCCTGGACCTCAGCTCCGGTGAGGCGCCCTGCCCAGCCTGCCTGTCCGTGCCCGCCCCTGCCTGGGCCTTGGCTTCCCGCCTGCACGAGGGGGAGTGAGACGGTGGCCGTGGGGCCTGAGTGAAACCAGGCGTGGAGCGGGCATGGCTAACCGTGTGGGTTCAGGAGGAACGGGTCCCCCTGCCCCTTTTCCAGAACGGGAGGTGACAGCCTCACGCTCCAACACGTCCTGTAGCCCTCCATGTCCTTAGTGCCTACAGTCACAGGGGGCTCTGGGGAGGCAGGAGTTGCCATCATTCATTCCTCTGTCCACGGAGCAGATGAAGGAGCTGAGGCCCGCAGGGTGCAGGGACCTCTTCCCACGCTGCGCACCTGAGCAGCTGGGCCCTGCGCTCAGCTCCCATCCCCCAGCCCCGGGCGCTCTCTGCTGTCTGGGGAGGCGGCGGGTGGGGAAGGGCCGGCAGCAAGGGCAGGGGTGCCCCGGGAGGGCTTGCACCGCGGCCCTGACCCTGGGTCTGGGGACACAGAGTGGTGGGATGACAGACTGCACGCCAGAGGCGGCGCGAAGACCTGGGACTCACTGCCACCCAGCAAGAGGAAGAAGGCGCCCCTCGTTTCTGGTATCCTCTCACCAACGGGGCCTGAGCGGGCAGGATGGCAGCCCCTGACTCGGGGGAGGGGCGGAGGGACATGGGAGAGAGAGTCTGACTAGACATTCATGGTCGTTCTGCCTCGCGTGGCCATGTCCAGACAAATGCAGCTGTCAGGAATTTTTCGTGGGGTCGTGAGTCTCCTGGGCAGTGTAGGCCGTGGAAAAATAGAAACATCTGTCCAGTGACCTCCCACAATCTCTGGAAGTCCCTCGGAGGCCCTCTGCCTCTCCCTCAGTGTCCCGGGCACATCCCAGCCCCCCGCCCCCGCGCCTCTGCTCACCTTCCGCCCTCCCTTCGGAGCACCTTCTGCCCGTCCGTGTCTGTTCAGCACCCATCTCAGACGCCATCTCCTTGAGGAAGCCTCTCGTGGTCTCCCCCGGTGGCTATGGCTTCTATCTCCTCTGCACCCCTGTGGCCTAAACCAGGCCACCCTCATCCCACAAGGCAGTAGTTGCCTCTGCCCGACATTGGGCGTGAGCCCCTTCCGTCCAGGGCCTGCTGTGCCTTTGTCCGTCTGGCACAGCTCTGCCCAGAGCCAAACTGAATTCTGCCTCTGCTTCCCCTCCCCGCATTGCTCCTGCGGTAACCTTCTCAGGGTGCTGGCCGCCTGCTGGTGGGACACCGGCGCCTGGTGGTGGGACGCAGGTGCGGGGAGGGAGGGCTCTGCCCGCCCGGGCTGGAGGCGTGGGTGTGGGGACCTCAGGGACATAGTACAAGAGGGCAGAGTGGATGGTGTGAGACCAAAGGGCTTTCCCAGTGGAAGAGACCGGGGTCTGTGTGTGGATGGGGAAAGGGGCCAGATGAGGGGACAGTTAAAGGGACAAGGAATAGAAGAAGCAAGGTCCTTTAGTGGATTGGATGGGCCTTGGCCTACTGACCTTGAGACTTGAGAGAAGGGTGAGCAGGAGCCCAGGTAGCGGAAGTAGGGGTGAGCCTCGGCGCCCACCTGCAGGCAGGCAGGCAGACACACACACGCACACACTCTCACACCCCAGAGAACCTGGGGGACAGGAGGCGGAGCTCGCGCTCTGACCCCTGTCCTCAGCGCTGCCTCTGCTGAGGGTCAGAGCCCCTGCCACTCCCCCGGGCTTTCTGCTTCCTTGACCCCCGCTGCAGGCCCATACATCGTGTACATGCTGCAAGAGATCGACATCCTGGAGGACTGGACGGCCATCAAAAAGGTGGGTCCGTGCTGCCTGCGCAGCACTGTCTTGGGAGGGCCCTGCCCAGGCGCCTGCTCTGGCCCCTGCGGGCTCTCCACGCCAGGGCTTCCCGAGGGCCACCCAGCTTCCCTGGCCTTGCCGCCTGCCCACAAGCCGCCTTTTGTCCAAGGCCACCCTGGAGGAGGGAACTTCTGGTTTGTGTTCCAGGACAGGTTTTGATGGGGTGGGAGAAAAGGAAGGAGGGAGGAAAGCCACTGGGCTGGCCCGGCCTCTGACAGGAGGTCATGTGAGAGCTTTGTCTAGAAAGTGTCTTATGCTTCCCCCTCTACCCCAAGGCCCCACTGGCCCGGAGCCCCCGCCCCAGAGAGGCCGCTGTGGAGGGGACTTGCGAGGCCTGAGGCAGGCTCTCAGGGGGGGCTTTTCTTCTTTCCTGCCCAGGCTAGGGCAGCTGTGTCCCCTCAGAAGAGAAAATCAGATGGTAAGAACCGCAGGGCCTCCCACCTCCCACCAGCCCTGCCCCCGGCCCGGCCTCCAGAAAGCGCTGAGAGAGGCAGTGGCCAGGCCAGATCAGTGGCCTGAGAGTGCGGATGGCCGGGTTTGAGGGCGTCGTGGGGATTCGGGAGCCTGGGAGGCGGTGGGAAGGCCCTCAGTGGGAGGGGCGAGGGGACGGAGTTCCCACCAGGACCGGTCGGGAGGGCAGGAGCCCTGAGCCCTGGGCCAACAGGGTCCTGGTGGGCCCAGAGTACTGACCGGCCAGGCCAGGCCGAGGCCGCTCCTCTCAGCTCCGCAGATGAAGCAGCTGCCTCCTTGTTTCGGCTTCCTCTCACCCGCGTGATTTTCCACTCCCCACCTGCCCCCAGGACCGTGACACCGCTGCGCCCAGCCAAGGGCCCCGGGGAGCAGCCCGCACCACACCCAGGACTGGCATTTCCCTGGGGCAGAGGGCAGCCCTGCGGGAAGGCTCCCCAGAGCTACTGCCCGGCCTTCCCCTCCAGCCACCGCGGGCCCAGCCGCCGCCTCTGCCCCGCGCGGGGCGTGCGCGGCCAGCCCCAGAGCTGCGCCGGCCAGGCCAGGCTGTCCCCTCCAGCCCCAACGGCCCTGCCTTCCCCCCTCAAAGGTCAGCTGCCTTGGTCGCCTCCCTGACAAAAACATGCCTCATCTTAAGCCAAATCACATCCTTCCTGCTGACCTTGGACTTGGCTCCCTCACTGAGCCAGTGAGCTGAGCCCACTTCATGGGCACTGTGAGCCAGAAAGCATCTTTTGGGGACCCGTCCTGGCTCTTGCCGTGGTGAGAAGGCAGGCTCCCCAGGTCCCGTCAAGGCGGGCCTTGGGGTCTGCCTCCCACATCGCGGGGATTGGAAATAAAATGTTTCCTGGGACTCTGGCATGACCCACGTGTGTCTGATTTACCTCGCAAAGCAGGCAGGGCTCCCATGGCGAGTGCCTGAGACAGGCAGTCACTTCTGGGGTCCCTGGTACCCACTCTGACTTGGGGTGTAGGCTGGGGAGAAGGGGGGCCCTCTGTGCCCCCTCCCCTGCTACCCACCCAGGCGAGGGACTGGGCCCTGGATCGCCTGGTGCTGGTGAACAAAGTCTGAAGCAACTTGTGGCACAGGCACGACATGTGGCCTCAGATGGGGAAGGGAGCTGGGTGCCTCATGCTCGGAGCCTGGGCCGTGCCTGCACCTGCCTGGGCCGCTTGGCAGATTGGCAAGGCAGGCTGGCGGGGCCTGTGCGCGTGGGAGGCAGCCAGCAGCAGCGCCATGTGCTGACACCTCACAGCCAGACTCCCCCCTGTTTAGTGCTGAGTGTTAGAACCACCCCCAGAACCTCAGTTAGGCAAAGGGGTTAGTTTCCATGGAGACAGGGCATCCTTTCTCCATGGCAACCTGAAATCCCAAAACCCATTAGTCTCAGGAATGAGTCATCTGTGACCAGTAGGGGGCACTCTCTCACAAGGCTGACCCCAAGGCCGGGACGAAGAGCAATCGGCCACACTTAAAGGTGCCCCAAAGGCGAGGCTGCCTCCGGGGAGAAGGCAGGCCCTACTTAACCCCTTCCCCCCCAACCTGTGGTTTGAAGGGGCCGCTGGGGGAGCTCTGTGTGGAGGCGGTAGCCGCATCACTGGGGTCCTCCGCCTGGCACTCGCTTGGAGAGGGTCCCTGCCCCCCACTTTTGGGCCCAGAACAGAGAGGAAGTGGGCACTGCCCGGGCCAAGTAGACACCCAAGAGTTAACTGGCGGGGTGTGACAGGGCGCACCGCCCTCAGGAAGTGTTACTCACCACCGGGAATGTGCTCTTGCCTTGGGGGCTGGATTGTCTTCCTGAGTCCCAGGAGTAACCGAAGGAGCGCCCCGCCATGGAAACCACTGGGGAGCCAGGAGCAGGCCCTCTCGGAGCCCCCAGCCCTTCGAACTCCTCCGCGCCTGGGCACCTGGAGAGAGAAAAGTTAGTGAAGTTGGAAGGGCAGCCCGGTGGGGCAGGGAGGGACTGCAGAGCAGGGTCCACCCAAGGGCACAGGAGGGGTAAGGGCTGGGCAAGGGTCCCAGCCCCCGCCCCTGGCTCAGGTGTGGTGCCTGCCTCCAGGCCCGCCCCGGACCCCCTGTACGACATTCCCGATGCCAGCGGAGGGCAGGCAGGTGGGCCCCAGCGCCCCGGGCGTGCCGTGAGCCTGCGGGAGCGCCTGCTGCTCACGCGGCCGGTGTGGCTGCAGCTGCGGGCCAACGCAGCGGCTGCGCTGCACATGCTGAGGACCGAGCCCCCGGGGGTGAGTCTTTCCCCTACTTCCAGGGGGTGGGAGGTTGGGGGGTGGGGGGGTTGGACGTGGAGGTCCTGAGCTGCCTCGCCCATTCGCAGACGTTCCTGGTGCGGAAATCTAACACCCGCCAGTGCCAAGCTCTGTGCGTGCGGCTGCCAGAGGCCAGCGGCCCTTCCTTCGTCTCCAGCCACTACATCCAGGAGAGCCCTGGGGGTGAGAGGGACTGGCCTGGAGGGAAGGGGCTGGAAGCAGAGGCTGGGCGCAGGGGGTTTCTGCAGAGAACAGCCTCACTTCCCATCTCCCAGGCGTCTCCTTGGAGGGGTCCGAGCTCGTCTTCCCAGACCTAGTCCAGCTCATCTGTGCCTACTGCCACACCCGGTGAGTCTGGTGTCCAGGGGACGCCCTGTCCCCACCCCCCGCCCCCACAGCTTCAAGCGTGCCTCATCCCTGACATTCTGCCCCCCTCTCTGGCCTCAGGGACGTCCTTCTTCTCCAGCTCCAGCTTCCCAGAGCCATCCGTCAGGCAGCCACGCACAAGGAGCTGGAAGCCATCTCCCATCTGGGCGTTGGTAAGGGCTCCCCTGCTGCCCCTTGCACTGAAGGACAGACTGAGGCCAAGGTGGGAGGGTGAGACACTGAGTGCACAGCCCGAGTCGGTGCCTTGCCCTGCATTGAGCGCACTCCCTGACGCTCCCTGAGGCCCCAGCTGGTTTCTCTCCTCCAGAGTTCTGGAGCTCCTCCCTCAACACCAAGGCTCAGCCCGGCCCACCCGAAGGCCCGCTGCTGCCCCGGCTGAAGCCCCGGTCCCCCCAAGAGCTGGACCAGGGCACCGGAGCTGCCCTGTGCTTCTTCAACCCCCTGTTCCCAGGGGACCTGGGACCTACCAAGCGGGAGAAATTCAAGAGGAGTTTCAAAGTGCGGGTTTCCACAGAGACCTCCAGCCCCCTGTCTCCGCCCGCTGTGCCGCCACCCCCTGTCCCTGTGCTGCCCGGGGCAGCCCCCAGCCAGACGGAAAAGTTGCCCCCTCGCCAGCTGCTGCGGAGGGAGAGCTCAGCAGGGTACCGTGTGCCCGGGGGCGCCGGCCCTAGCCTCCCTCCGCTGCCCTCCCTCCAGGAAGTGGACTGTGGCTCCCCCAGCAGCTCTGAGGAGGAGGGGACGCAGGGGCCTCGAGGGAGCCCCGCAACCTCGCCCCACCTGAGCCGCAGGCGGCCTTTGCTTCGGTCTATGAGCGCTGCCTTCTGCTCTCTGCTGGCACCCGAGCGGCAGGTGGGCCGGGCAGCCTCGGCGCTGATGCAGGACCGCCACACCGCCGTGGGCCAGCTGGTTCAGGACCTGCTGACCCAGGTGCGGGCCGGCCCCGAGCCCCAGGAGCTGCAGGGCATCCGCGAGGCACTGAGCAGGGCACGGGCCATGCTGAGCGCTGAGCTGGGCCCTGAGAAGCTGCTGCCGCCCAACAGACTGGGTGAGACTCCAGCCCAAACCTTCGGGGGTCCAGCCCTGTCTCTGTAATCTCAACTCTCACCCACACCCTCCCTCCCCCACCCCACAGTGCCAGCCTGCCTCCCTGTCTCCCCAGCCTTCAAGTGAATGTCACCCTCCATTGCTCTCCCCCCACTCTCCTGTCTCACAAGATTCCTCCTCCTTTTCATCCCTCTCCCTCCTGGACTGTGCCCTTTCTCCTTGGGACCCTGCCCCCCATCCCTCCTGGTTCCCCTGACCACTGTCCCCCCCACCTGCCTCTGCTCTGCAGAACGTGTCCTGGAGAAGTCGCTGCATCGCTTGGTGCTCAAGCCTCTCCGGCCCATCCTGGCGGCTCGACTGCAGCGCCGGCTTGCTGCTGATGGCTCCCTGGGCCGCCTGGCTGAAGGCTTCCGCCTGGCTCGCACCCAGGGCCCTGGAGCCTTCGGGTCCCACTTGAGCTTGCCCTCCCCGGTGGAGATGGAGCAGGTGCGCCAGAAGCTGCTGCAGCTGCTTCGCACCTACTCACCCAGCGCCCAGGTCAAGCGGCTCCTGCAGGCCTGCAAGCTGCTCTACACAACCCTGAGGATGCACTGGGGTATGCCCCCTCCCGCTACTTCCTTGCTTTCAGACGCTACCTCCCAGGCAGGTGCCAGGACAGGTCCAGCAGCCAAAAAAAATGGGTCCGACCCTCCCATCTCGCAGGTGGTCTAACTGAGGACCAGATTGTTGTGCATCCTCTCCCCAGCCGCTGCTCATGGTTGCCATAGAGACCACATTGCCCAAGGCCTGGCAGGTGGAGGGGAGAGTCACCTTCTAAGATGAAGAGTGGACTCTGACCCTGGGGCCCCAGAGGAGCCTGAAGCTTCCTTCCCTGCTACCTCACAGGAGAGGGCGCGGGGGCCGACGAGTTCCTTCCACTGCTGAGCCTGGTCCTGGCCCACTGCGACCTTCCTGAGCTGCTGCTGGAGGCCGAGTACATGTCAGAGCTGCTGGAGCCCACCCTGCTCACCGGAGAGGGTGAGGGACCCACACACCTGCCACCCCCCTGTCCGGGTTGGGCTGGAGCACTGCAACACCTGTGTGGCCTGGGTAAGCGGGGAGGGCCAGAGGGAGCAGGTCTCCCGGTCCCACGCCGAGCTGCGTTATTCCCCTGTGTTCCAGGTGGCTACTACCTGACCAGCCTCTCCGCCAGCCTGGCCCTGCTGAGCGGCCTGGGCCAGGCCCACCCCCTGCAGCTGAGCCTCTCGCAGGAGCTGCAGCGCTCCCTCAGCCTCTGGGAGCAGCGCCGCCTGCCCGCCACCCACAGCTTCCAGGTAATGGGGCCTCCAGGCTCTCCACCCCAAACTGTGAGACCCATGCAGGCTGGTCCTGCGTCACCCTGCAGTAGAAACAGTGCCTCGTGCGGAACAAGCATCAAAGGCAGCCTCTCTCTTGCCGAGGGCGCAGCCCTGGATCTGCACAGAAATAGGGCTGCTGTTATCCCCATTTCACAGATGAGAAAACGAAGACAGGACATGGGGAGGGAAAGGGGCACAGAGGCAGGGTCAAGCCCCAAATCCTGGCTTCCAGCCCCCAGCTGGGCCCTGCCCTGCCCTGGACACAAGCCTTCAGCCTGAGCCCCCCTCACCCTCCAGCTGGGCTCATGCCTGGTGTTCCCAGACTGGACACCAGTCCTGCTCCTCACCTTCCTCTCCACCCTTCCCGGCCTTGCCTAAGAGTCTAGACTTTGTAGCCAGATCCTGGGTTCACATCCTGGCTCTGCTACTTTTCGATTGTGGGAGTTTGGGCTAGTTAGGTAACTAATTTGTGCCTCAATTTTCTCATCAATAAAATGGGATAATAGTACTTACCTCCTGGGGCTGATATGAGGATTAAATGAGCTCATTCAGGATAAGTGCTCCGGGCACACATTACTAGTTCTGTCTAAGCAGGAATGTCGGGCTGTGGGGACCTGCTGGGGCTGTCCTTCCCGCCTGCAGTGGGGCCCACTAGCCCAAGTGCATTTCTCCCTTCCTCAGGGCCCTCTCAGAGCTCACTTGTCCGAAAAGCTTTTTCCGATTGGTTCTACCACTGGATTTATACTTCCACCCTCCTCCCCACCTCTGCAGAGCCTAAACTGGGGCCTCAGGCTTTGCAGCCAAGTATGGACCAGGAAGGGTTGAGTTCTTGTTTTTGCTTCTCCTCCTGCACAGCACCTCCTCCGAGTAGCCTACCAGGACCCCAGCAGTGGCTGCACCTCCAAGACCATAGCCGTGCCCCCAGGGGCCTCGGTTGCCACCCTGAACCAGCTCTGTGCCACCAAGTTCCGGGTGACCCAGCCTGATGCTTTCGGCCTCTTCCTGTACAAGGAGCAGGGCTACCACCGCCTGTCCCCCGGAGCCCTGGCCCACAGGCTTCCCACCACCAGCTACCTTGTCTACCGCCGCTGCACAGAGCAGCCTGAGACTCAGGGGGCCTCATCTGCGGGAGCAACCAAGGAGGGCAGCAGGGAGGCAGAGGCAGAGGCAGGGGGCGGGGAGGAGGAGAAGGGGGGCCGAGGAGAGGGGGACACCGAGATCAAAGCCAGCCCCAGGGACAGCAGGGGAGAGTCTGAGACAACTGAGCAGAACGAGAGCCAGGCCAGGGAGGGCTCTGCTCAGCCAGGCAGGCCAGAGGCTGAAGGAAGCCGGGCAGCAGAGGAGTAGCTGGGAGTGGCCAGAATGGTCACTTGGGACCAAAAACGCTGAGCCTGCTGGGAAAGCCTTCCCGAGCCATCAGCCCCACTGACCAAGGCCACAGCCCCCTTAGCCTTCTCACCCAGGCTGCTCTGGTGTCTGCCACCACCTCTGTCTGACATTAACCTTTGTGACGCTACGTGCTGGGGGAGTGCCTGGACTGGCCACGTCAGGGCATTGGAGCAGAGCCGAGGGGGTTGTGGGACCCCACACCAAGGGCCCAACATCCTTTGCCTGTTATCCTTCTACCCTAGCCGGAGCCTGCCGGCCAACCTGCAGGGGTGAGTGCCCCCAGCCTCTGGCTGCCAGGGAGCGTCCCCTGCCCAGGCAGCCCCTCCAAGCTGGGGGCGGCAAGGCCCTGCAGCACTCCAGCGCCTCCTGGGTGTCAGGAGGACTCAAGGAAGCAGCAAGGGCTGGGGGGGGGGGGGTGCCCAGCCCCATCCAGACCCCCGGGGCAGACCTCAGGGTCCGCACCTGTAAAGCGGGGGGCGGGGGGGGGGGTGCACTGCTGCCTGTTTTCTCCCAGGAAACTTCCAGGGGTGAAAATGGGCGGTTTCCTTGCAAAGCTGAACGCAGACATGGAAAAGGGGAGGGAAGGCACTGAGGTGTGAACGTTGCCTCCCCGCACCCCAACAAGGGTCGCTCTCTGCACTTGCCTCAGGGCGACGTCCTCCAGTCGCCCCGGAGATCAGGTTCAGCAGGAGGAGCACCCAAGCCCCAGTCTTTCCCCAAGATGGGAGGGCCTCCCAGGGGAATGGGGCGGGGAGTCAGGAGCGGGGAGGGGGAGCTTGGAAAACACTTTCTCTGCACTTAACTCTTGGGCCTCTTGGGCCTCACAATAGCTTTACAGGAGGTCATGCAGAACAGTGACTCCTAAGATGTCACACAGCGGGTTTTTGGGTCCCCCCACCCAAACCAGGGCCTCAGCCCCGTATTCCAAGCCACCAGTCAGTGAACCGTCAAGGCGCGGCAAAGCAGCAAATCTGAGCAAAGACAATGATGGCAGTGACCACCAGGGGGGGTGTGTGGCCCAGGAAGCTGCAGAGAGGGTGACACCGAAGGACAAGGGTGGCTCCAGGACCTCAGCAGCACAGGCGGTCACAGGCTTTGCACTCCTGCAGCCAGCCACCAGGCGACCCGGGACAGGGCCAGCCTCATGGGGACCACTCCCTGGGAAGGAACTGTGTCCTGCTAGTCACCGAGGCATTTTCAGGTGCTGCGCACCAAAGGGCGTCAGCCCACATGTCAGACATGACAACTGGAAAGTGACAATCCTGGACATTGGGATTTCAGACAAACCAGAGGCCGCCCAGGTGCAGGGCTCCCAAATTTCTCACTAGGCCGCTGGCAGCGCTTCCCTCCCACCTTACACACGTCCGCACTCACCTGCCCAGTCTCTCGCTGGTGGGGGGTCTCCCCTTCGGGCTCTTGTATGCCCTCCTCCCTATCCTCCACCCATCCCCACTGCCTTGCACGGTGCTGGGCGCACCACAGATGCTCAATAAATACTATCCACTGATTGGAGTTTGGTAATGAAGAGTGAAAGGCAACCCTGACTGGTGCGGCAGGTTGCTGGTTCGATTCCCGGTCAGGGCACATGCCTGTGTTGCGGGCTAGGTCCCCAGTTGGGGGGCGTGCGGGAGGCGACCAATCAATGTTTCTCTCCAACATCAAGGTTTTTCTCCCTCTCTTTCTCCCTTCCCCTCTACCTAAAAATAAAGTTTGGTTTTTTTTTTAATTAAAAAGAGTGAAGGGCAGCAGCTATGGCTCAGGGCCACAAGGTGACCCAGAAAGCAAGCAACGGCCATGGGCACCTCACCGAGCACACCAAGTGTGTGTGCAACAGGATTTGAGAGGTGTATGGCTTTGCTTCCTGTCAGGCCATGGAGCTGCTCAAGATATCTAAGACAAGAGGGCCCTGAAGTTGGTCAAGAAAAGGATGGAGACACACACCCGCGCCAAGAGGGAGAGAGGGGAGCTGAGCATCATTGCAGCCACAAGGAAGGCAGCAGCAAAGGAGGACAGGGCTCCAGCTCCTCCTGTAATAAAACCTGTGCAGGAAGAAAAAAAAGAGTTAAGGGCAGTGAGGTAGGAAGCTAGGAGGTTAAGGGAGGGCGGGGTTCTAGGAATGAAACAGGATATTTCAAATTCAATCTGAGAAGGACCTGGAATGGTTGCAGGGGTTGCTCAGCGAACCCCAGGGCTGGCTGAGGCTTCTGGGCCCCCCTGCCCTGGGGGCCTCTGCAAGCCCTACTCGCCCCTTTCCCCACTAAGTCCCATTTCCAGGCCTTGGGAATACAGTGCGTCCCCAGCCTGGGCTCACTGATGCGCTGCCAGGCCCTGCCTGCATATCTTGGTTTACCTTCTCAGGAGGTTCTGATCGGTCGGGAACCCAGGTCAGGTAAACCAGCACAACCAAGGGCCATGTGTGGCACAGGGGCAGGGAGGGCGATGCTAGACTGGTCCAAGTCTGGTCTCGTTATCCCCGTTTTACAGGTGAGGAAGCTAAGGCTTGCTCAGGGAAAGTGGCTTATTACAGGGCTTGGACGCCAGGGACCGCGGAGCTTCTGAATCCACAGTCTTCCAGAACAGAAGGGCTATTTACCCACCCACTCAGCAGTGATCTATGGAGTGTCTGTATGGGCCAAGCTCCAAGCACCCCCAGCCCCAGCCAGGGGGAAACTGACATGGTCTGGGCCGTAACTGAGCGCCCACTGCGCTCGGGTTCTGTGCTGCACCCTCCCCGACCCCAGCCTCCCACCTTTGGCCTCTGGAGGAGGAAGCCTGTCCACTGCTGCAGCACAGCGCTGGGACCTGGATGTTGGGATCTCCCAAGGAGCCCGAGTCATTTCCTCATTTGGCCAAGCTGCCCTTATCACCTCTGGAGTCACCATAGTTCTGTGTGTGAGTTTGTTTATTGTCTGTCTTCCCCACTAGAAGGCCAGAGCCAGGTTGGCCTTGTTCCCGCTAACTCTCGGCAGCCTAGAACAATGCCTGGCGCTCAGCAAATGCGTGCCCAGTGATTGATTCAGGAAGACTCAGCCTAAACAGTTCCACAGTTCCCCAGTTCCTGGGGCTCGGGCAGTGCATTCTCCTTAGCTACCACCAGGGGGGGCGCGAGCGTGCCCTGTTCCCAGTCACAGGCCAGGTCCCCTTCTCACCTGAGGCCACCCAGGGCGCTTGGAGGACCCACAACAAGCCTGGTGCCAGGAAGGAAGCAGCCCTACAGTGGAGCCCGGGGGCTGTCCTGCAGTCGAGGGTCCTGAGAGAGGTCGAGAAAGGGCTGAGGAAGGAAAGGGCCGCCTACTGCCAGGCTTACGGGCCAGGCAGGCCACGAGTCAGGGTGCGTGCGCTGGCCTGAGAGCGGACTCAGGAGGGGCAGCAGGAAGGCCATTGAGACCCACAGCCGCACCCCGACCCACCTCCACCAAAGCACGTTGGACACCCTGCTCCAGCTTTGTGTTCCCTGTTCACACCCACAACTGGACACACAGAAACACCCTGGCTCACGTTTGCGGGCCCCCAACCTGAACAGGAGCATGGAGAGTTTAGGAACACCCTGGCACTGCCAACCACCCACGCCCTGTGGGACGGGGCGCAGTGACACACATCGGCCCCTCCTCTGGCCCACAAACATCTCTAGAATGGCAAACTCGGGGATATTCCCTCAGTATTTCCTCTACCATTCAGAATGTGACTCCCTGGCACACACGGGGACAGGCTGACACAGAGATGTGTGGTGACCTGCTTTAAAGAAACCTCATGACACACACCTACCTGCCCACGCAGCACTGCCACTGGCACAGCCCCGGCCCCGGCTCAGACACGGCGCATGGGCGCAGGAAAGGGGGACACGCAGACACACGGAGAATTCAGAGACGCAGAGACCCTGAGACACACACAGACACGAGCTCAGAGACACACAAACGCAAAGACACACAGACACACACATACGTCTTATACTTTTGATCATGCAGTACATGTCCAAGCCCTTCTCGCTCTGACCCCTGGTCTATCCCTGCCACCACTTAGCACCCTGTCCCCTGGCCGAAGCTGGTGACCGCTGTGAGCTGCTGGAAAGATCCCTGTGGGGGGCGGGGGCGACCCCAAGGGCCAGGCAGGAGGGAGAAGCCGGCAGCACTGGGTGGGGAGGCCTGAGCTCATCAGATTCCAGCCCTGGTGATTCATTGATTCACCGGAAGTGCCTGGGGAGGGTCTGGAGTCAGGGGGTGGGGCACTGGCCCAAAGGCTGGGGATTTGGGGGCCTAGGTGGCCTTCAGACCAGAGGATTGGGCCCAGAGCCGATCTCTAGTCTGGGAGAGGAGCTTCTTGAGGGGGCAGCCCAGCCTGAAGGGGTGTCTGTTGAGCCTCGCTCCTGGGAGGGGCTTAGGACCCAGAGCGGAGGCCTGGGATGAGACAATTGGCCCCTCCCGCCTAGGCTGGGCCCCTGACCCCAGGCTCAAGCAGCTGGGTGTCTTTAGCAGGGGTTAGGCGAGGGGGGGCCCAAGGGGGGCAGGGGGGTGACCTTCACGGCCATCTTGGCCCCTTGGGCTCTCTGCCCAAGTGGACCCCAGAGGCCTGGGGGGGCTGGACCTGCCTGGTGCAGTCAGCCGCCGGGGTTACCGCCCCTCACTGCCAGGAGGGGCTTTTGCCAGGGCAGCTGGCACCAGGGGTGTTCTGCTGAGGGGGAGCCCTCTGCTCCGGCTGCCCTGAGGCCCTGCCTCCCAGGCCAAGCCAAGGCTCAGAGGACCCAGCTGCTCCTGCAGGGTGACAGGAAAAAGGATGGGGCTGGGGGCAGACCCAGGGCACAGGAAGTCCCTTTCTTGGAACTCTGCACCAAAATAGCCTGTTCTGTCCCTACTCTGAATTTCTGCGTCCCATGTGGGAGGTGTGTGTCACCAAGGAGACCTTCCCCAGGGAGGGGCCGCAGTTGACCTTAGTCTGGCTTTTGCCCGCCACCCCCCCACGGC